ACTACAGTAGATTCTCTTGTCTTAGTCTATTTTCTATTTACTGCTAGTATGAAATAATCAAGTGATCAAAACAGACCACATTTTAAAAATTGTATCTTATTTTATGATTCAACATTATGATGCCAAAAGATATCTATCCCCATATTACGATTGCTGTAATGTTACTCACACACATGCAATCACATACACATATGAACAGAGTCTATTTTCTCTGTCAGATGGATTTTCTGTCACTTCCCTATTCTATCCTCTACTTACTACTGCTGATAAAACGGTGTGATGCATTCAAATGTCTAATAAAAAAAGGATGTGCCTTTAAAAGAATGCATTTTAATTCTAAGTATTTCATTACAGAAAAAGATAGCTCTGAAATGCATCATAAGAACTTCAAACTTTTAAATGAAAACTTCAAATATATTTTATTTGAAAATTGAATATACCTGTACAATAAACAAAATAAAATGGACTGTGACATTGCTTGTCAGTTTCACACATGGAACTCCCAAACAAATATTTGCTAAAGAAATCAATTTCATATACAACAAGGCTGTTCATTAAATATTTTCCACTTTGCCATAGATTGTATGCAATGGAGCTATCAAAGCATGAGGTAAGAGCTGCAGAGCCCTAGCTCTGGGCACTTCAGACTTAGAGAGCACAAATTTTCAGCACAAAAGCTTGAACCAAATTTGTTTCTTTCTCAACCTCCTTAATGAGCAATTCTAAAGCCCATGGAGCAATTGATTTAAAAACAAAAACAACAACAACAACAATAGGAAGCAGAACACTGGGCATGGAGATCCAAGGACACCTTCCACTGGGGAGATTGTGGCTACAATTTGGAAGCTTTAAACTCCTGCCCATTTCTCTGCATAGTTTATACCCGTAGGAATGTTACCTACCTAAATCTTAGTAAACAGAGGGAACTGCTTAAAGCTGCATGCTCAAACATTAGATTATCTTCAATGGAAAAGAGGTTTTATAAAAACTTCAACCCAAACTCCACTTGCAAACCCAGGGAAAGAGAAGACCCAACATCCACCACATCCTCAGATCCACCGGACAAACCTCCAGCATTAAGTGGCCAAAAGAATTGGGACTTCAGCATTTTACTCTTTTTTTTTTGTGGGCTGGATCTCACTCCGACACCCAGGCTGAAGTGCAGTAGCACAATCATGGCTCACTACACCCACAAATGCCCGTGCCCAAGCCATCCTCTTGCCTCAGCCTCCTGAGTAGCTGGGACCACAGGTGTGCATTTTACTTTTATCAACTATAAAAACTTGATTCAACTAACCAAATGGCATAAGACTTGGGGGAGCATTGTATATTAAATAGTACAAATAAGTTTGAAACTCAAATTGCTTCTGTGAGAATGCTATGGCAACATGGGGAAGTTCGGCAAGCTTTGTAAATCTTTTATCTTGGGTGTTCCCAGAACCTTGAGACTGTTTTGTCAGCCTCTCCACATTCATTCAATTTGGTGACATTTTCTCTACCTTGCAAAGTCCCTCAACCAAAAGAGCTTATTAGTAGAATAAACCTTTTGAAAGACACTAAATTTCCTCAAGGTGCTAGAAAACCACACATAACGTGAGTCTATTGATTGCAAAATTACTCCGTGAGGTCTGAATATTGTGCCGGGCCCTAATGTCCCAATTGCCTGCACTGACAAGTATTCCTGACTCAAGGTCTTGGGAAGATCAAAGCCCTGGTGACACTTGCACTCCCCATGCTGTCTCCCTTCTCACCCTGACGATAGGTCCAATCTCCAGCTCTTACTCATTTAGGCAGTTTCTCTAAGGCTGAGACAAAGGAGTGTTTAATCAGAAAATGTATTAACTAATTGGTGAAGCCTATTATAAAAATCCCCCTAATTACTCTGTGGTGTCAAGAAAAAGGGCCTGTCAAGAGAGTATCAGTGCTACAACAGTGACAGCAAAAAGCAACATTTGGAAGTGCTCCTCCCTTGGGCCTTTTCTTTGATTTTTGCCTTTAATACTGATAAGAAGTGACAGTAGTTGGATAAAACAATCAAAACTTGAGTTGAAGAGCTTATAAACCTTCTGACACTTCAATAAACCAAAAGCCGATATGAAACTAGCAAAATGGTTTTATTTTAACTCTGGCTAGCCACACACCACAGACATGACATCCATTTGCAGAGCTCTGAGCTATCTCCTTGATATAATATTTTACTAACTCTCATTTCACATCTTTTAAATAAGAAATAAATGCTAAATTCTACCAAGAGAAATAAAATCTTTTATAATCTTTTAGACAGTTGTTGTCATCCCTCAGGAGAGCTTTATGCCTGCTGCTAAATGTCTACAAATCAATATTTAATATTTTGAAACATGAAGTCTTAATTATCTATCTCCCCTTTAAGCGTGAAACCCATACTGAGTGAAAATAAGGCCATTTGTTGGCTGATGGATTGATTGCCACTTATTAGCACTTTTTTGATCTGCAGGTCAGATTACAGGGCTTCATTCCAGACACATACTATCATACCTTATCATTTATGCCTTGACGTATGAATGAGTAGAACAGAATATGGTAACTCAGGGCTGTGTGAAGATCTTTTTCACTTTGGTTTATTGGAGTAACACTGACAAATTAAGAAAGAAATAATCTTCAAGTCATAACCATTATTTGTGTTCCAGACAGACTTTTACTCTTAGGTACAATAACAATACAAATTCTGATGCCCTATGTACAAACTAGAACATAACAGAGAATTTTGTATATCTCTCCCTACCAAGGAGGAAGGGGGAAATTGTATGATCTTGATCAATTGTGTAATATTACAAAAGCCCCAATTAAGAAAGGGGGAAAACCCATGGGCCTCTGTGTACCTTTCACCTGCCCACACTTGACCAGAAGCCTTAACTACAACAGAGCTGAACCCTGAGCAGGTCTTCTGCCTCTAGGAGTAAAGAGGCCACAACTAGATTGGTAATAAGCTGAATTTTCTCGGTTGTATTTGTCCAAAACATAAGCAAGAGCTTTCTGAAATGAAACACATGGTTAAGTGAGGAAAGGCTTTGTCCTGGTTCCAGAACCTGCGAATGTGACCTTATTTGGAAAAAAGGGTCTTTGAAGATGTAATTAAGTTAAAGACCATGAGATGAGATCATCCTGGATTATCCAGGTGGGCCCTAAATCCCATGATAAATGTCCGCATAGGAGTCACACAGGGTAGACGCACCCAGGGAGAAAGAGGAGAAGGTCGTGTGAAGACAAAGGCAGAGGCTGGAGTTATGCAGCCACAAACCAAGCCATGCCTGGAGCTACCAGTGGAGGAGGCAAGGAAAGATTTCCCCCAGAGCCTACAGAGGAAATGCGGCCCACTTGACACCTTGATTTTGGACTTCTGGCCTCCAGAACTGTGAGAGAATAAATTTCTATTGGTGTAAGCTATAAAGTTTGTGGTTATTTGCTGTGGCAACCCTAGGAATACCCATGGCATGAACACAAGAAGACTTAATGGGGAGCTTGTGAGGTAGACAAGCCCAGTGACAAATGAACTGTACTGACTGGTCCTGAATTCAGCTGGGATGAGAGTTCAACAAGTGTTTAGAGGCTTTCCTCAAATTACATCTTTCTTGTTTACCTTGATTTCTCTATCATTACCACTTTTTGGTCCTTTTTCCGTGTAAATGCACTACATGCCTATACTATAGAATACTGTGATTGTATAGCTTGGGTTTGCACATCAGTTCAGCCACTTAACCTTAATCATCACTTAATCACTCCGAGCCTGTGTTCTGTTATTTATAAGAAGAAGATAATAGTATCTCCTTACAGGTCTGTTGTAAGATTACAGATATATTTGTAAAGTATTTAATACAGTGCCTGGAATACAATCAATGTGCAATAAGTTACAGAAAAAGAAGCTGCTTTTTCCTCTACACAAGAACAGTAGTGTGTATTAAATTTGGACAGTATTAAATGTGGACGTCATTCTGGTTATAAACTCCAGAAGAATGGGAAGCCTATCTTTTGGATGTACCTAGCACAAAGTTGGTGTTAACAAATGTTTTTAAATGAATGTTGTCACCAAGCTTGTGGCAATTTCTATGTCAAATTACATTCCTTCCCACCCTTAGAACTCTACTTGTCTCCATTATAGCATTTTACACAATTGTTTGGTTCCCATCATTCCAAATTAATTCCATTAAGCAAGTCCCTAACCTTACAATACAGTGATGAAGGTGGATCTTATCTTCAATTCCAAATTCATCCAACCTCTAAATCTTATGCCATCTCCAATTTAGGACCCTATAATATTAGGAAACCACATTAATTCCAGCTCTGTCTGGCTCTCTCAGCCCATGTGCTTAGTTTATTTTATCTCTTACAATTTCAAATCAAGAAATATTAGCTTCTATTAAGCAAGTCCCTTTACTGCCTCCCCAAGTCTAGCCTCTACCTTGGCTTAAGCTCTTTGTCATATTTGATTGATTGCCTTGTTCCTCCCATCTACCCATCAATCTCCATGCAACTGAATGCCCCAATCAAGTCATCCCTGATGCCTCCATTCATATTAATCTCCTTTTAAAAATTTCTTTTACAGTGTCTGCATGGCATATTGCACAGATTATAGTTCTTTTCATGATAGTACCTCACAATTTAACATTTAGTTTTATCTGCATGTGATATACATATAATTCCAATATAAAATCTGCTGCTAATATAATTGTATAGATAGATAGATATACACATATTTTTACATGTATACACACACACACATATATACACATACACACATGTGAGTGTAGCTTGTCCAGGTAATCATACATACTCTCTTCAGAAGCAGTCCACATATTTAACACTCATTAATTTTGTATTACATAGTTCATAACATAGAATATTAGGCCCTCAACAACTATTTTTTGATTGATCCTAGATCAGACACAACTTTATTGTCCAAAAAAAACCAATAGAAACAAAAAATTGAATTGTATTTGCTTAATTTTTAAAATCAATTTTCCATCTTTAGTATTTTACGAGTTATTTTTATTTAAGCAAGTGGGAGAATTTTCCAATGCCAACCCATCTGTTCCTCCTCTTGACTTTGAAGTGGTCGTCAGGCTAAATTGGTAACATCTTTCATCCTGTGGCAACGCCCCCATGTTGTTGCAGGCATGCAATTCCGATTTCATTGCCCTATTGAGCCAAAGGCAAAGAGAGGCAACAAGAGATAAATCCCTTCAAAAACTCAATAAGTTTTAATAATAGCTAACAGACACAGAATACTACCCACCATAGAAATGCTTAATTGCTCTTTGTCATTAAGTTGGCTCTAATGATAAAGGCTCTTTGTGAAGGTCCCTTCCCCTTTGGTATTAAACTGTGAAGAAATGGACTGGAAGGGCCTTTGAATACCCACCCACCCCCAACACACACACACACACACACACACACACACACACTCTTTCAGCTATCACTGCCCTGAAATATTATAAACAAGGAGGAAGTCAGTCTACTTACAAAGTTCTCAAGGGAAGGAATCTCAGTCATTCTAGATAATACACCACAGTGTTTCAAAATCTTCATCTGAGCCAGTTTTACCCTATGTCTTCCAAATCACTCCTGTTTCACTTTAAATGCAATTTGTCTTAGGCTGCCCTCTATGGAGACCAAAAACAAATTAACAATATAAGAGTGGGCCTGAAAGTATATAGAATAGGAGACCATTGCTTCTCTCGGGGATGTTAAATTTATTCCTACATTTCATTACAATATTCAAGGAAAAAATACAAGTGAATTTACAGAGAGGATTCACTTGTGCTGTGGTCATTACAGTAGGTTTTTTAAAAGCTCTTTTTCTCCCAGAAGAAATCTACTAACTGAACATAAGGACAGCAAATGATTTTTATCAAGTTGAAATGTGGAGAAGAATTAGAGAATGTTAAAAAAGCATATATTGGAACATAAAATGATAGAACCACATTCATATTTAGCCACTAATCCATGTCCACTAACTTTCTCTTGCTTCTTTATTTTCCTCTGGAAATTTAAAGGGGGGGGTCACACATTTGACAGCAATTTTCCTATGAATTATGAGAAAACTGAGGCAAATATGTGGGACAGAGGCCAGATCTAGGAGAAGCTACAACACTATAAAAACATTGTTTCTAGTGCTTCTCTTTCCTCCCTCTCTACCACCTGTTAAAAGATAAACTAAGACACATTAAAATTTTAGAGAGTTTATTTGAGCAGACAGCAATTCATGAATCAGGCAGCTCCAGACTGTGGGCCATTTTGAGCTCTACTGAAGAAGCAGCATGAGGGGTAGGCTCTTATAAACTAAAGCAAGGTAAAGAAAATATTTGATTGGTTGTAGTGGAGCAATTGCCTTATCGGGATCATTCCAGTGGAAAGTCCTTAGTCAGAGGTTAGTTGGCACCTTTTGATTGGTTAAGCCTAAATAGTGGAAAGTCATTAGTTAGGGGTAATTAGTGGTTCTAATTGACCTAGAATATGAAATCTTATATTGATTTGGGTTTCACGTTGCTTACTTAACACAGGGCACTAGAGCTGCCCCAGTCTAATGGTCTTTCAACTAATTATTTTAGCATACCTCAGACTCTACTCAACATTCTCATTACTTTTTTGGAGAAATAAGTAAGATTAAGTAAGAGTTCAAAGCTCATACAAAGTGCCTGGCTTTAGTACCACTCAATTAATACCATTTTTCAGATTATTTTCTTAAATCCTTAAGCCTACTCTGTGAGATAGATACTATTATTAGGCAAGTTTTACCAATGAGGAAAATGTGGCTCAAAGAGGGTAAGCAACTTATCTAACTCACTGAGCCAGTCAATGCTTTACCTACCGCACTACATTGACTCTATGGCAAAAAGGTGCCAGAATACTCTAGCCTTGTTTCCTTCTTTGTTACCTAAGGTGGATGCAGTCCCATGAATAGCTATAGCCTTGCTTCAGAAACTCTACCTTCATAATTGGTTTGCAAAGACTGAGGTAGAGATGGAGATCAGCTCCAATGACAAAGAAATATAGAGAAAGTCCTTCCTTTCCCTGCCTCACCTACATTCCTGCTTAGCACCATGGTCGCCAGAACCAACCAACAGAATCTGGTAAGCCAACCACTTGGTCAGATTCATCAAACCACTGAAACTGTGGGCCTTCAGGCAGTCCCATCAGTTTGTAGAGTTAAAGAATATTAAAACTAGGAGGCACCTTGGGGGACAAATAATTGGACTTCCTCATCTTACATATGAGAAAACAGGCCCAGAGCTTAAACAAACCTCCCACAATCCCAGAACCAATATGTGGAAGAACCTGGTCTTGAACTCAGGTTTTTGGACAAGACTCAAAAGATGGACTCTTACTTTATCATATCTGTAGTAGCTGTGGCCTTGATTTGTCATCCCCCTGCCATCCCTCGATAGCAAAATGATCATAGCTTCTACTTACAAAATTCCTTCCACTTCAAGCCAAACATTATGACATCATGATACTTTTCTAGAGTTGTAATTCATTGTAGACGCATTTGTGTTTCTGCTATATATGTTCATTACTTTTCAACATTTAAAAACCAACTAGGATATAAGTCCTTAAAGATAGACTCTGTGTCTATTTTTCTCTTTGTGTGTTTTACTCTTTTCCTCACCCTATAATATACTGCAGTTCTCAAATCCACCCAGCAGGCTATTCAAAGACACCTTGCATGACAAGATTCTCCTTTTATAAATATGAGATCTGAGACTTGTGTAAAAAATTACAGTTTTTCATGACTAGAGGAAATTTTTGCTTCCATGGACTTTTTTTTTTACTAGTGAAATAACTTTTCAAATTCTATGAACAAATTTAAAACCAATGAAACAAAAACACACCAGCATTCTAAGCTGCTGTGATTGAATGCTTATGTTCCCCCTACATTCAAATGTTGAAGCCTAACCCGAACGTGATGGTATTTGGAGGTGGCGATTGTAGACGTGGATTAGGTTATGAGGGCAGAACCTTTATGAATGGAATGAGTGCCCATATAAAAGTTGCCCTAGAGTGTTCTCTCCTTCCTTTTGCCACCTGAGGTGACAGCAAGAAGACAGCTGTCTATGAATCAGGAATGGGTCCTCACCAGACAGCAAATCTGCCAGTGCCCTGATCTTGAACTTCCCAGCCTCTGGAACTGTGAGAAATAAATTTCTGTTGTTTATTACCACCCAGTCTGTGGTAGTTTATTATAGCAGCCCAAACAAAGACATGATCCAAATGTCCAAGACAGCTACTTTTCCCAAAGGCCATTCATATTAGTGAATCATAACTGTCAGAATTACCATCCATTAACATTTTGACCATTCATTTGGTGTGAGGCTCTGCGTATTGCTTGCAGCCACCACCACTATCCTCTCTACAGTATCCCAAGCCCCATAATCAGTCTCAGGACCTCTTAAATAGAACACGATTCTACTTTAATCATAATCAGCAGAGAGAGTTTGGGCTCCACAATTACTTTTAATGCCATTTTCTTGACAAATGTGCATTAAAGATTTGTTTAAATTTTGCTGTGCAAACAGCTCACAAATGAACATGAACTTGCTTAAATATCAAGAGTTGGGGTTGAATTTCAAAAATGGGCAATGAATAGGGGAAAAAAACAGTGATTCTGTACAGTGATTCTGAGAGCAGGAAAGGCATGCCATAGCTAAATCTTTTGCCATAGGGCAAATAAATCATTATTTGTTATCAATACATGATCATTAAATATAAAATACCTCTCTCCATTAGGTCTGAGTCTTCAGAATATAATTTGATCCTTTTTTAAAAAAAATCACATGAAGCCCTTGGCTAACACAGACATGTTTAATGCCTGTTTTGCTTCAGTTCTCATTACAAAGGCTACTATTGTCAGAGACATAATATAATTCCTACCAGAGGACTTAAGAAATAAGATTCCAAACAGGCCAGGGACTTAGTCATCCATATCAGATTTTCCAAAATGTCCAAAAAATTAATCAGTTCATCCTACACTATAAGAAGAGCATCAGTACTAGCTCATGAATTATGGAGCAGTTAGTCCAACTCTCAAAACTGAAAGTTTCTGCGGCAATTCATTAAGAAAAAGATCAATTTGTAAAATCCTGGAGGTTATTAACTTGTTTGGAAGCAGCCCACAAAATTTGTCATGTCAAACCAATTCCATTTTCTTCTTCAGCCGGGGGAGGTGAGAGGTGGCATGAAAGATGCAAAGGAGATGGTTTACTCTATTCTTAATAAGGCTTTGGATAAATCAACATATTGACCAACAACTAATATGTTGTTTGGTTAAATTTAGGGACAACCAAACCACCGAAAGTGATACGGTAACAAATAAGAGAATCAATCCTTCGCCCAATATTTATTGAGTTTCTGGAATGTACAAGGCACCCTGCTAAGCAATGTGTGGGAGACAAAGAAAGTCAGACAGCTGCTCTACACTCAAGACGATTAGCGTGTAGCAGGAAAGGCAGTGTTCATCAACACTACTAGGCATAAGGCCCTGGAGATAGTTAGGCATTATAGAATAAGGTTAAAAACCTGGACCCTTGAACCAGAACATCTAGGTGTGAACCCTAGATCTGTTATTTACTAATAGCATGAACTTTGGAAAGTTTTATGACTGTTGCTGTTTAATTTCCTCATCTGTCAAATAGTGGTGATGACAAGGTTATGTACATGATAGGGTATGGTTAGTATTAAATGAGTTATCACACATAAAACACTTAGAATAGTGTGGGAAATTCAAGGAGAGACATTATTTGCCATGGTAGATAGTTTTGAAAGGGAGGAGGAGGAGAAGGATGAAGTAAGCAAGAGGAATAAGAAAGACATGTTGAAGATGCAGCATTTAAGCTGACTCAAATAGGTAGGACTTGGACATGCAGAGATTGAGATAGACAAAGGCTGTGGTTTACATAAATGCTATATTTGTTTAGTAATAACAAATACACTAATGTGTAAAATAGATTTCTGTCATATCACTGAATAGTCCAATTTTACCACATCATAATGTCCATAAAAGACAGAAATGACACACCAGGGCCTGTTGGGGACTGGGGGACTGGGGGAGGAATAGCGTTAGGAGAAATACCTAATATAAATGGTGAGTCGATGGGTGCAGCAAACCAACATGGCACATGTATACCTATGTATCAAACCTGCACGTTGTGCACATGTACCCTAGAACTTAAAGTATATTTTTAAAAAGACAGAAATGAAAGACAAAAATAAGGACTCATTTACATGGACATCATTATGAGGGCCTGGAAATCAAGGAAAATTAAAAAGAGAAAAAGGGTAAAGAAAAGAGAAGGGGTACCCTGAGCAGCTCAGAAAAAGAAACACACACACACACACGTGCGCGCGCGCGCATGTATAGCAAGAAGATGGAAATTAGAGTAGAAAGGATTATTTCTATTTCAATTTTATACTTATTCATTTTTCCTTTGTTTAATAATAAATGTCTGACTTCCATCAAAAGATAACAGATAACAGATATCCAGGCTGGGCGCAGTGGCTCGTGCCTGTAATCCCAGCACTTTGGGAGGTCGAGGCGGCCATTCAGGTCAGGAGCGTGAGACCAGCCTGGCCAACGTGGTGAAACCTCGTCTCTACTAAAAATACAAAAATTAGCTGGGCATGGTGGCACACCCGTGTAATCCCAGCTACTTCGGAGGCTGAGGCACGAGAATTGCTTGAACCTGGAAGGCAGAGATCATGTCATTACATTCCAGCTTGGGCAACA